TTCGTCTCGAGAGGTAGATTTATCCAAGGACACCAAGGCTGATATTTCTGAAGGATCAACCATGGCCAAAGCATGTAAAAGCCATGAACCCACCTGGCCACCATGACAACCAATATCACCTTAAAGCTGCCAGAATGAACAGAATCAACATTCCGCGAAGGAGTATATACCACCAAACATTGTGGAAGACTACCCAAAGTCACGTCGAGAACCATACATATCAATTGAATACAAAAACCAGCTCACACCATTCCATCGGTACTCTCAACTTCACCAAACCAGCTACATGGCTGAATAAAAGCTTGGGCCAAACCAGTAAGGTCCTGCATATACCAATAACTTCTAACGACACTTTCCTGAACCTCATTATGTCCCACAAACAACACTAGAGCCCAAATCCCTTTCGAAACAAACAAACCTCACAAGCATACACTGCCACGCTGCATACAACTCAACCTATTACCAACTAACCCCTAAGTCCAGATCTACACACCCAGCTCACCAACCCAAAAAAGAAAACACAGCTTAGCCTCTCACAAAAGTAATCTCTTTCACATGGCTTAACTTCCATTATCACTAAGATTCCCTCGTCCTAGACAGAATAGGAGCTCCCAGATCTTGCGTTGGTTGGAAGTTTTAGACCCCCATGACATGATCTTTGAGAGATGAAAGTATGAGTCACAAAGACATGGAACACCATCCTGCCAGCCTCTTGTAAGTTTATTCAGGATGATGAAATTTTATTTCCCTAGCATCCCAAGAAAAAGCATGACAAACCCTCCATTCAGGAATTCATTCTTTCAACAGCCCTGCTGCATGTAAAACCTTGGTCCCTTGAGGTAGTTACAAACAAAAGGCCCCCATGACATCCCACTACATTAATGAAACTACTAAATCATCAAAGACAGGAAATGCTTGTGGAAATTTCCAATGGGAGGTACTTCACAAAACAAAAACTAGAATCCATCCACCGCCTTCGACACTCCTGAGCAGTGAACGAACCCAACTGGCCACCAAAGCGGGCAAGGAACTATGCGGGGTCCTATTCGGATGTCTACTAGGGCCGATGGAGCTCTTGGCCGAGGGTGGATAATGGCCCTCTGCCAAGTGCAAAAGTAGTCATTTTCTCCCATAAAAGGAGCTGAAAGGGTCAAGTCCAGCATGGGTAATTCTATTCGATACTTGAGTTTAATTTGTTGCATCCTAGACTTACGGTTTATGCATTCAAGATAGGTTTTAGAGGTTCTGTGCAATTGTCAGGTTTCGATGACAATTGAATCAGTAGGTGACAATGTCTTCTTCTAGTTCAAGTTGATCCAGGTTGGAAAAATGGATTTCGTCCCATTCCTAATAACAAGAATAAGGGGCGCATTAAGTATTCTCAAAATGAGGATGCTGACATTAATCGATTGAAGAAATATGCGGCCAGCATTAAAGGGGATATAGCCCTATGCACTCTAAGTGCTCGGGGATGTTAGGAGAGAGATGTTGGATCATTTACAGAGGGGCCAAAAGAAGAAAAAAGGCAAGGAAAGAACATGAAGTTATCGCAAGATTTATATATACCATTGGAGGTGAAGAAGATGATGTATATATGATAAGCAAGGGGGCTGTAGTTCTAGGCAAAGGCTGTTTGGGAATAAGAGGCCTCGAAAGAAAAGGGCCTATGGATTCTTATTCCCCCTGCCCCCCCTTCAATCCTAAGGTTACAGTTCAAGAAAAGATGCAAACCACCATTGAGACCCGCTAACTTGAGAAAAGATGCATACTACCATTGAGACCCGTTATAAGCAGGATGACAGGGATAGGGTGTCTTAGATGATATTACCAAATGAGTCTGTTATTCAATACCACTAACTTGAAGAGCTTCCATGTTATGTTGGAAGCAGTTGAGCAGTTTAGGCCTGGGTATAAAGTCTCTACAGCTTATGAGCTCAAGGGGCCCTTACTGAGAGAGGTGGGGCTCACAAATGAGTATCTTAAGACCCATTTCGATACAAGGGGCAAGAGTGAGGTCACCATAATGACAGATACATACTGATAAGACGACTAGAAAATTATGGACTTAAGTGGTGAATTATCTTATAGGGACAATATCTTTGAGGTCCATTGACATACATAAGAATCATGCTGTGAACTTCATTTTTGGTATAATAGATCAGTGTGTTGAGAAGGTGAGGGAGGCATAAGGGGCCCAAGTATTTACTAACATGGCTAAGGCCAATATGGCGGCTGCTAGAATGTTGCTGTGAAGAGGCCATACGTTGACCTGAGACTTCAAGAGATGAGTGTGGAGGGAATACTGAAAAAAGAAAGAAAAGTGACGGTTTTCAAATACAGCGGCACCAATGTCTTAGCCATGTACACACAAAATAGAGAGTTGGTAAGGTCAAGGGTAGAAAGGTTTCCTACTCCACATTTGTCTCTAAAATCTATTTTGGACCAAAAATAGATTGGAACCAAAGCAAATGGTCCAAGGATACAAATGAGAAAAAGATGTGTGACATTATACTAAAATCCCGATTTTTGGGGGGTTCGCTACTGCCGCTATCTTTTTAAGCCACTTGTTGAAAGTATTGCACCTTTTAGATAATGAGAAGGAACCAGCAATAGGACATATGTACGAGGCAGTGGATGTTGTAAAAAGAAGAGATGAAGAGGAAGTTGAGGAAAGAATAAAGTTGATATACCGCTATTTTGAATATTGTAAAAGATAAATGGAATCCACAGCTGGAGAGGTCCCTTTACCTGGACGGGTATTATCTTAACCCTGTTTGTTACTATACTGACAAGGATTAAGTTTACAGGTTGTTTCGTAAAAGCAAGTACCAGTACAATGGGAATATCAGTTCTGATGTGGATGTCCAAGAGCAAGCGTCATGAGACCTCGAGAAGTATCGATACTCAATGGGGATCCTTGGGACAGAGAGCAATAAGGCAAAGGATGAAAATGTATCTATATAAGATATAAGTTTGAAATTTAATTATTGATGTATATTTGTTATTAAATAACTAGTACTCTTTTAACTTCTAAGTTCTAACTTGATGTGGGCCAATCATTGAAAAAGTGCCAATTACTTGTAGATCTTAATGGATTTTGAACTTGACTCGTACCTCGTCGAGTTACAAGCCCAACTTCAACAATTGGAGATGGTAGTTTCTTAACTGACTCATTTGTCAATTTACTATTTGCCCTTGTCTCCTACTACCCCTAACTTGCATCATATATTTTCCAGTCGTAAATAAATAATATTGCTTTCATGCATTATCCAACACATACATATAAGAATAGAAATAAGCATGAGCAGACCTTGTTCCTGTTCAGTATAATCATAAACGAAGGGGACGTCATCGAATGTAATGAAATTGACCCCATTATTTGGAAGATACAGACAAAATGAGTGAGTATGATACTGGGGATGAACAAATATTCACAGGAGAGAACTTGAAATGGAGCCAAGTTCATGAGGTGGAAGAAACTGCATCGAGCTCTGTGCAGACTACTGGATCATAGTCAAAAGGAAGGGGAAGGAAAAGAGGCTGAAGAGAGTGAGAGAGGAGGCGGAGAAGGTAGACTTAGACGAGACAAGGGAAGAAGAAGAATATGAATGGGATGACTCTGATGTGGTGGTGGCAACAGGTCGGGTATGGGTCGGATTTAGTTGAACCTGGACCCGAATATTATATATTTACCCGTACCCGTACCCGGACCCGGACCAGTACCTGTACCCGATGGGTTTAAATTAAACATACCCGTACCCGTACCCGTACCCGACGGGTAATTTTGGACCCAAGACCCGGACCCGTACCCGACACTAGCCAGTAAAACAATTTAAAAATAGGTTGTGCCATTGCCTCAAGCACCCATTGCCTTTGCTTTTATAGATCTCAACTTACTCATTTCCTTGTATTCGCATCGAGGTGGGACTACGTTATAGACAGCCTCTCGCTTTTTATACTTGTTGGATGGAAAAGGTCCACTTTTGGTCTTTTGCATAGGCAATGCCCTATGCCCGTACACGTGGATCCAATAGCTAGAGCTCTCTTTTTTTGTCAAGCCTGCCTACCCCTTCCCCAAAGATTCCATTTTTTGAAAACCACCCCACGATTTTTTTTTTTTTGGGTCATACATGAGTGGGGTTAAAGAGAGAAAGAAAATCGTGGTTGCTTTGTGGCTTGAAAAGAACTTTTAGTCCCACATCCAAGGATTTAGAAAGATATTGTGATGGGGTTTGTTATAGAATGAGGGGTAAGTTTCTAAAGAAGAGAGAAACTTTGGGTCCCGGGTCGGGTATGGGGCGGGTCCACTAGTACCCAGACCCATACCCGAAAATGTTCAGGTCCATTAAGAAGGACCCGGAACCTACCTGCGGGTACAATTTTTGGACCCATACCCAGGCCCGTGTTGGGTATAACCGGCGGGTCCCAGGTCAGGTCTGGGTTCATTGCCAGCCCTACTCTGATGATGATGGTTAGCATCATCATCAGATTTAGGTTAATTTAATGGTGGTCATAGTGATGGACTTGTAGCTAATGATGATGAAACTCAAAACTCAAAATTTGAGTTCATTAAACTACATTTCTTATTCAAAGTTTTGTTCTTTTAAAGCTAACGAGGTTCAACCAAATGCACCCCCTGGTCAACTATGCATGGTGATCATCAGCCCATGTCAACCACCTATATCCTCCTCCACAAAGTACTCACTGCCTCAAATGGTAAACCCTAACACTCTTAAAAAACCACTAATATCCGAAAAATCGTCCACCCGGCCGCCTAATCGGAGTGGTCAAAACGCCTAGGCAAAATCTAGGTGGGGCACCTAGGCAGCTTGCATCTTAGCACCCTCCGAGGCGGCGTATTGCCCGCCTTAGTGGTATAGTCAAGGCAGCTGCCTAGGCACCGCCTCGAGGCAACTTGCCGAGGGCAGAAAATGCCCTCGGCCAAGGTCAATTTTGTACAATGTGTCATGTTTTGATATTCTTTTTTTTTTTTTTTTTGTAGAGAATTGATATTCTATTATTTTTGTTTTACTTTTTTGATAAATTAATAATTACATTATATACTTATATCTTAATTCTTATGTGAAGTTATATATGATTTTTTTTTTTAGATTGATATCATATACGTATTGTCTCATATTATGTGATTTTTGTTTCATATTATTTTATTTTATTTTCTTTCATATTATTTTATATGATTATAACATTATATGATTTTTTCTTTTTTTTTCTTTTTTAAGAGTTTTTTCTTTATAGTTAATCCTTTAATCTTGTGTATCTTACAGGTTTGTTGATCAAGTGATTTTGATTCACATTGATACTCCAATCAATTATTGTGTCTCTGTGACAATGACTTCTAGTGGATCATGTAGGTCAAATGATCAAGGTTGGAAGTATGGATCTTGTCCAAATCCCCTTGATAAGAATAGGGTGATGAGATCAAGAGAGGAGGATGAAGAGGAAGAAGCAGATTCAGAAGAGACGAAGAAGCAGATTCAGAAGAGACGAGGGATGACACGCAATACGTTGAGGAGGGCGATGTCTCTAATAATGAAGGTGTGGCATCATCATCATCATCAGATGCTCCTTTGGATCCACTTGAACACCCCGTGTGGTGATGCCATAGAGTTGTTTGGTTGACATTAGATAATTGGGGTGGTGACATGTCACATGTATTTGGTTTTTTGGTTTTTGGCTTTTCGTCTTGTTGCCTAAGCATTGTCTTGTTGCCTAAGCATTTTGATGTCTTACAATCTCTTTGAGTCTTTGTATATGTAAATCTGTTCTACAACTATAATATTATGTTGCTCTTTTTCACGAGGGGTTTGGGGCTCCAAAATTGTCCTAAAAACTCCCTAAGGCCTAAAACTCTGCCCTGAAAACTCCCTTTGTTCATTTTGTTTGGGGAAGGGTGGGGGGTTTCCCTAGGCGGCCAAGCCCCCAAAATGCCTAGGCGCCCGCCCGCGCTTTTTTGAAGATTGAAAACCACCTTTCTTGCCATATCCTAAACCACCCCCAAAAACTCCAACACCCACTCTTCGACGGCCATTGTACTGCATTGCCCTTCTTTCACCCATTACTGTCTGGATGATAGCCCCACTAAGGCAACAAGTACCATAGGCATATCCCAACCACTCCAAACCTTAACAAACCCAAACCCATCAAGACTATGCACAAAAAACCCAACTTAAAGCCCCGAGCCCCTAACCCAAGTCCATCCTTGTGGGTCCCAAAGGTGTCATCAAGCCCTACTTCCCACACCCACCTGACCAAACTCCCTCGATAGCGCTATTGGTCATCCCCTAGTAACCCAGGCCCCTCAAACCCGGATATAGCACCCCCAAAAAAAAATTAAAAAAAAAATAGAACACCCCCAAAAAAAATTATTTATCTTGCTCCTGGGAAGTCCCCAATGACCAAAAAAATCCAGACAAGAAGCCCAAAAAAAAGATTTTTCAGACTCAGAATCAACATATTTAATATCAAATTCTACCTATTTGTTGTCCTGAAGAAATTGAAAGAATCTCAAGGGTGGACAGCAACATTGAACAAATATTGCAAGTTATGGGGCTCTCATGTGAAGGTCCCACCAGGGAGATCAATAATGCATTCCAAGCAAATGCCATTAAAGATCATGCAATTCAAGATAAAATTACCAAAAAAAGGAAAAACTGCACAGAACTCAAGAACCTGGCTTGCAACATCACCTATAAGAAACAACCATGATCAAAACACTGACCATTTCCCCTCCTCAACAGCTTGAAGCCTTAGATGACCCTGCACTTCAACCTTTGAAAACCCCATATCAGATGAGGACAGTAGCATGGAATAAAAGGAGAATGGGTCGATCATGAAAATGATCTCATAAACAAAACAGGAACCTCCAAACCTAGCAAACTTCCAAGAAATTTGGAGAAGAACGGCTGCTTGGACCGCTGCTCCAGCAGAAGGCTTCTCTGGGGATATACGGACCATTTGGGACCCAACACATCTCACACAATCAGAATCCAGGGAAACGAATTCTTCGTCAAGATCATATGCACCCTTCACGGCAGTATATGGCCCAAACAGGCCAAATCTAAGAGAGGAATTTGGGAAGAATGCAACTAAATTAAACAGTGCTTCAGACATGTTTCCAACAACCATGATCAACCCAAACCATCTCCACAACACAAATTTTGAAACTCAGCAGATATCACTTAATTTTGTACTTGAATTTTGTATTGCCCCAAATCAAGGGCCTACACTCGATTCCTTAATGATGAAAGAATCTATGAAAATGCTACTAATCAGAAAAAAAAAAGAAAAAAGTGTAGTTACCTTGGGATCAAGCATGAAGCGTATAGCATCAACCAACTTCGGACAAGAAAATTGATCGACAGGGATTGGAGGGGGGCCTACACCTCTAGCATGGACACGTTCACCCCAAAAAGGTTGGTCCCCAAAGAAGGGTACAACTGTTGTTGGGCACTAGAAATTTCCAAAAGCACCAGAGTTATTTATGGCTTAGAGCACGATATGCGACCAGAATTTGCACCAAGAGAGTGAAATGGGAGGAGGGATCCCCAGTTGGGGGAGAGAGAGAGAGAGAGAGAGACTTACTGCAGCTTTGAGGCCAGCAGCTGTTGTTCCTGCACCACCATGATGCACCTAAGAAGCATAAACAACGGGAAAAACCATTTTATTTGAAATTTTGTTGATAAATTGCCTCATAAATGAACTGAGACACATCAAAAGATTTATGGAGAACAAACATAAAACAAGGAAAAATGAAAGAATAAAAGTATGCACTAAAGTCCTGTCTACCCAGCACCCAGATGCATCTGTATGGAACCCACATACACAGCACCTGTAAGAGCTTCCAAAGAAACTATTGCTTGTAATTTTAGAGCTTTCCTTTTGTGCTGTGCATCTTGCTTGAAAAAAGCGCATCTTGGTTATTTAACCTTCATCTTGTTATTCTTGATACAATTAGGGTAGGGCCTCTACCATTCAATATGTCGTACTGAACTCTGATACCATTGCATGGTTAAATAATAATGTGAATTCAGCAAAAAGTATGGCAGAAACATAATTTGGAGGCATAAACATGAAGGTTTCTCTTTCAAGTGATGCATAGCAAGAGCTTTTTGCCTTGAGAATGTGCTAATTTAATTACATATCCTTCAATTGTAAACCTAAGTTACCAGCATCCAAATTTTCGCAACCATGCTTCTGAAAGAGGAAGGTCGCATTCTTACCACAGCAGCACAATGCAAGAATAGCCAGTCGTGAGGACAATTATCCAGCAAATATACAAATTCCTTTTTTTCTGCCGCTGTCAAAGAGATTCAATTATATAGTTGATTTCCAGCAGAATAACAACATAAACAAAATTCCCAAAAATTGATAGTGCTGAAAGAATAAGAAAAAACTCACAATTCCCTAGCCCACCCCATCCCTTATTGATGATGCCTCTTTGCTCAGTAATTTCTAGTGCCTCCACAATTATTTGTGTCATCTTTTCTGGCTCTTGAACAGGCTTTTCAGTGTCACACATCAAAAATAATCACAAGAATTAGAAAGAAAGTCAAAGGCCCAGGAATATCAAGTTGAAAATACTGTGGCGAATCGTGGATTTTGGAAAGAAGTGGGGTTTTTTCTTTGAGATTTGGAGCATTTAAAAACTACAATTTTTGTTTTCTTTTCTTTTTTTTCCCCTTTTTTGTGTGTGCGAGTGTGTGTGTGTTGGTGGAGGTGGCATCTTCATGGTGGTGGCATCTTCAACTGGCAGGCACTCCAATCAGCTTCATATTTAGAAGACACTTGGATGATTTAAAAGATGCATAATGACCAATTCCTATATCTTCAGGGAAATACACCAAAAGGATAGGACATAATGACCAATTCCTATATCTTCAGGAAAATACACCAAAAGGATAAGACAAGGAAAGACAAAAGTAGCAGCAATCGCGCATGTGAATATGAAAGTTTAAACCTTCAAATAGTTTCCAGAGGATGCATATCCAATGATTTACACCGCATTCCTCTGGAAACTATTTGAAGTTCTAACCGCAAAATTTAGGAAAAAAGAACTCACAAGGCTGCCAAACCCAATATATATGGGTTTCTTATCTCCAGGGTCCCCAATAAATTTCTCAAGTGACTCTGGAGGTTTATAATTTGTAGCTAGATCGAGGAAGCAAAATCCAACGCAATCAACCTTGGGTCCCCAGTCTGCAAGTGATTCCACTAAATTTGTCAGCACAAATACAAGGTATTTCATAGAAGCAGAACAAATGTTAACTACTAAAAAATAAGTCCATTAAAAACTGAAAATTAGATCATATCAAATGTGCATGATGAGGAATCTAAATACTGACCTTTTGGTTTGGGGACAAGGTGAGGACTCCAGATATACCCAGTAGGTATATCTGAAGTACATCCTTGGGCACCACTAAGATATGTGACTGGCCGTAACTTAAGCTTCTTCTTCCGGAAATCATTTATCATATCACGGATACCCAACCAAATTAATGAGTCAACAATTTGATATGAGAGCTGCAAAAGAAACCCATTATGAAGGACATGAAGAAAATGATTCAGAATCTGAAGTGACAAAACAGAACTAGTAAGTTTTAAGCAATCAGAAGCAGAAAATCTGAGAAATAGGAAGTTTTTAAGCATTAAATTAGCTCACTCTATATCCAGCAGGTTGCTTGACACGTGAAAGAGGATGAGGAAATTCACTTGTAGGCCTATAGTTACAGAAAAGGCACCAAATCAAATATCGATTTTTTATTTTGATTAGCACATACATCAGATCCAAAGTTCCAAAACATGCAGATCATGTCCTCATTTTGAATATTTAAAAATTAAGAATAATCTCACCATCTAAAAGATACTAATTAAAGTTCTCAGTACCAACATAATAAGAACTCAACAAAATCTGTCAAAAAAAAAGAAAAAAAAAACATGAAAACAGCTGTAAGCACTAGTTTGGGGAGCGTAAAAAATCAGTAAGCTAGTAATTCAACTTACGTCCATGGCATAGTGAAAAAAATGTGTAGTGGTACTTTCAGAGCCTCAGCAACATGGGTATGACCTGAACAAAAAATTAGAAATGTTAGAACTTGGAAACAGGTTCTAGGCAGAGTTATTAGGGCGGCAGGTGCCACAACATGACATTTAAGGTTCCATTCCCACTAGGTCCCACGTTAACATTCAAAAAGAAAAAAAAAGGTCAGCAGTTGAATCAAGAAACTTCCACATATGTTCTGGTGCCAATATAGGATCATAAATGCACGACAAGGACCAAGGGTGGGTGGACCCTGGACAGGGCCGAATCAAGTCAGGTCTGGATCAAAACATAAACAAATAAAAATTATATATATGAAGCATAATATATATACATATAACACCAAGTTGTGCCGGCTGGTTAATTAGGGGCTAGACCTGGACAGGGCTGTCGGGTTTATTATACATATATATCAGTCGGGTCAGCCTGGTTAAGTAGGGTCTAGACCTGGACATGGCTGTAGGATCCAATACTTCTGGACCAGTACCTGAACTGCCAGGTCCAGAAATTCAACCTGAACACGGACAGGTTGAACAACCACCTGACCTGACTACCAGCCCTATGCATATAACACTAAACATATGAACTCACAAAGGAAAAGAATCAAAACCCACATATTGCTTATCAATAGACATGGAAAAGACACCCATTCAATAAATTGAAAATCATGTTATATTCACAGGGTGTCATTAATTCCAAGGAACATATATGGAACTAATAATTCGCTTCAATATATATAATCTGTCTATCCATACATTAACTAAGTTTTGGCAAATTACATCCAATATTAGATTATAAAGATGCAAGAAATTAAGTTAATCTGAAATTTGCAGAAGCTTCAACACAAATGAATGCATAACAGAAAACTCAAAAGGAACAGAGGGAAAAATAATGTCATTTAGGCTTACAGAAGCCATTACCATTTTGAACTTCATCCAGATGAAAGAGAAAGAAGAGCATATCATCTACAAAATTCTTCAAGAAGATAAAAGGCCAAACTGGGGTACATTTCAATGTTATATAGCAATCCAGAATACCAAACTTGTATAATCTATAAGAATATCTAAATTGGACTTGCCCAAGTTTCTCGGAACCAGCACACTGCCAGTTCTGGATAATACAAGTCTTAACCTTGTATACCTTGAGTTTAGCTCGAGTTTACCCAAGTCTTCAAAAAATACAGCCGGTGTTCTTTTAAAAAATGTGTTTGTTTTTCAAGAAGACACAAGTCACCTGACCCGGGCACTGCCCAGCTCCAAAGCCAGTTCTGTGTTTTTAGACTTAAAAGAACCAGTGATCTGACTCAGAATTGACTGAGTCCGATCTGAATGTGGGGGGTAACGATCCATTTTCAAACCCAAATCAGGAGATCTACCAGAAGTCCACCCTTTTTTCTGTAGCAAACTAGGCGATTAATTTACTAGAACTGGGAATTGTCCAATTTTTCAAAAACTTAGGTGATTTTTCCACTGGATTTTGGCTGTTTCTCCCACTTTTCCGCCTATTTTCACCATTTGATCCATTTCTCACTGGATTTAGTCCTTTCTCCCAGAAAAATCCAGATTACAATCTTCTTCATTGACCTACAAGATCATTTTGATACATCTCTCTCTCTCTCTCTC